TCTAATTCCAGTCTTTAATATGATGTCAAGTTCATTTTGGTGTATTTCTTTTGTTTTTTCATAAATTTTTTGAATGATCTCTCATGGAGTTGATATGCACATTTCCAGCAATTTGTAAACACAATTGCATTTGTGAGTTAAAGTATTTAAAATGACTGAAAATTCAGACATTTTCTGTGAAAAAAAGCTTCAAATTTCCAATTTACAGTAGTGCTTAAATGCCAGTTTTTTTGAAAAATGGTTCTAAATTTTTCAAAAAAATTGCCATTTAGGAAGACGATTTACTGTTCTGTAGTAATCTTAAAATATTTTCACGTTACAAATAGGAAACCCCAAAATTAAGAAAATGTCAAAAAAATGTACTTTAGGCGGAGATAGATGGCAGCTGACAAGTACGTAGCAAGCCGAGACCAAAGGAAATAGAGAACTAATACAGAAAGTCTGTGTTATTCTGTAGTATCACTAGTTGCCTTTGCATTCCAGATTTTCTTGCACTAACAGTCAGAGACACTGTAAAACGATAAAATTATCGATTGTTGCTCAATTGAGAAATTCACCACTTGCATTCTCTTAGTCTCTATGTAGCGTATAGTTCTGTGATGTAATTCACCAGTAGTCCCAAAACGTTTTTCTTTTCCTTTTTTTTTTTTGACTGTGTGGAATTACAACAGAGTAAAAAAGTCTAGTCCATTTGGTAAAGCCACCAAAAATCTGTCAGGACACAGGTCGATTCAGGACTTACCCTTTTTTTCAGCAAACCTCCATGGTCAGCTGTTAACAGATGTATTGTTGCATTCTGGCAAACTTCCAGAAACATTTTTTTTTATATATATATATTTGCTACCGGTTCAATTACATTACTTTTTCAGGGATTTGAATACAATACTACCTAACGCAGAGGCAGGAGGGCAGTGTTTAATAGACAGGTAAATAGTTACCGATAATTTAATATAAGTTTTATCACTAACTTTATTTAGGTAATTATGAAATCAGGAAATAGAAATAAAGAAAGTTTCAATTTATGGAGGATGAAAAAAATATTTTGGAAAACGTGAATGGATTCGAGGATGAGGAACATAGTTTTGACCTAGGGTAAGATTTTGAAAAATGGAGTTAATAATTTGTTACAGAAATTTTTTGTGAAGATAAATATAAATGATTTGAAAGAATTGATTTTAAGTATGTTTGTTTGGTATAAACCAGGGAGCATGTAAAATTTGGAAAGGAATTTATTTTGAATTACTTGAAATTTGTTAAGATAGGTAATAGAGGCATTACACCAAATAGAGCAAGCAAATGAAAGAGAAGGCGTAATGATAGATTTATATAACCAAATGTCATAATGAATTCATAATTTGGAGATTTTATTTATTAAAAGATATAATTTTGATGTTTTATGGTGTTTTGACAGTTGTAATTTGGATGTGAGATTTCCTCGTAAGTCTTTGGTTCAAATAAACTCCTAAATATTTAACAGGACTATTATTTTCAAGCCAAGGTATAGTATTGATAATAATAAGAGAAGAAGGTTTTGAAGGGCATCATAGAGTAAAAATATTTGCTTTAGTTTCATGAGGATTAATATGTATTCTCCAAACATTAGTCCAATGTATGAATTTTTGAATTGCATTTTGAATGATGTTAGGAGCAATTTTGATATTTGAATTGGAGGAGAATAAATCAGTATCATCTGCAGTAAGAACCAAAGTAACAAGAGATTAAGAGGAAATATTGATGTAAAATTTTAAATTGTGGAAGAGAAAGAGTTGAACCTTAGAGAAGAGAAGAGAGAATAGGATGGAGAATAGAGAGTGGGGAATTAATTCTTCAGCAAAATGGCAATCGAAGAGAAAGTTTTTAATAATTTAAAATTAGTAATGACGAGTACCAGTTTCACTTAATTTGAATAATAAACCAGTATTTCAAACTTTATCAAAAGCGTGGTCTATGTCTGAGAAAAGGGCAATAGGGTGTTCTTTACTATGAAAAATGTTTGCTACAAATTTAGTAACGTGTAATAGGTAACGAGAAGTGGAGTAATTAGAACGAAATCCAATCGGATAACCTTGCTCAACAAAAAATAACTTTTTCACTATTTTGCATATGAATTATATTTTGCAATGAATTTACAGTAAATTGGGTAAGCTGAATCCAAATATGTCATTAGTTTCATGAAACTGACTCTAGTTTTTGTGCCACAAACATTGTTATGAATTAAGCTATTACAAAACTCACAGTATTTAAAGCAAATATCTCTCTTTATATAAATACTGTTGTTTTTCTTTTAAAACACTGAATATTGCATGTATTTTTCTATATATGTGGAGAATATACACAACAAAAATAGAAGCGAAATACTACAAACTTTATGGAAGAAAACATATGAAGTATATTTTGGAATGAAACTGGATGATCAAGCTTCCCATGTGGTACGCAATATTTGTGTGTGTCAGTACAAAACTGGAAAACTGAAGAGTTTAAAATTTGGTATACCATTGGTATGACGAGAGCACAAAAATCATGATGATGATGATTGTTACTTTTGTGCAGAAAACGCCAAAGGGCTTCAATTGTCACAAGGAAAAGAACTGGGAGTGCACTGAATTGGAATCAACAAAGTGCCTTCTACCAAATGTACCTGATGTTCCCATACGTGTTCACCCATATGTTATCAGATATATTTGAAATTAAAGAAACACATTGTAGTAAAAAACAATCATATTTGAATATTAGTTATGTATTTGTTGTTCATAATGAAGCATCCAGATTTGTTGAGGAGAGTGAAGTATTGTTATTATGCTAAATACTTTTAAGATAATTTTAATATCAGATTTAGAAGATTGATGTTTGTAGAAAATGTGAAGAATGTAATCAGAAAATTAGTAGTCCTGTTCTGAATTCCATAATACAAATAGTTGCTATTTCTGAGAAAGTGCTTTGTTATAAAATTTTTGGACCCACTAAATCCAACTACAGGAGGTCGAAAAGAAGTTGAAAACAGAGCAGCATGAATTAGGATTATGTATAGATTTTGAAAAAAACTTCCAAACATTCCTGCCCAAGAGATATTTTATTTTTG